CCCCGAGGGAGGGGGAGGGGGATTGGTGCTGCTGCTGGGGCTTACTGATGGGTGGGGAGCCTGTGGGGAACGACCTGCTAGGCCTATGCCTGCTGCACCCAATGCTGGGGTGTACATCGTCCCTGCAACACAAACCCTAAACCCTAAACCCTAGACCCTAAACCCTAGAGGTTGAGTAGTAGGCAGCAGCAGCAAACGGAGCAGCAAAAGAAGCAACGAGAATAACAACAGCAGCAGGAACAGCAACTATAGACACAACATCCCTTACCTGAATTAATGCGAGAAGCAGCAGCAGCAGCAATTGCTGCTGCTGCTGCTGGATCGGCAGGGTTTGCTGCTTCGCCACCGCCACCAACATCCCAACCAGTCCGCCGCTTACGACGCCGCTGTACACAAACCCTAAACCCTAAACCCTAAACCCTAGGCAGACTAGAGGTGAGATGCGCATTAATTATTGTCTAACAATATAATCCCTCCAACATCTACAAAATACAGGCAAACCCACAAACCTATTAGCTGCTGCTGCTGCTGCTGTTGCTGCAGCGGCAGCAGCAGCGAGCAGCAGCAACAGCAGCAGCAACAGTAGTAGACAACTGGCGTACCTCTTCGCGGGCCTCTGAAGTTCGAGCCTCAGAAGAAGTTGCTTCGGAGACTCGAGAGTCTCTCCCGCGGCTTCTGCTGCGGCTTCTGCTGCGGCTCGGCATTGTTGCTGCTGCTGTTGCTGTTGCTGCGGCTGCTGCTGCAACCCTGCTTCTGTAAATGCAGGAGTCCGACTAAGAATAAGAAGCGTCTAATAATGACAGACAAAAGCCTCAGAAGGCTGTCCGGCAGTTGCTGTTGCTGCTGTGAGGGGTATAATGGGCTTGCTGCTGCGGCTGCTGCTGCTGCTGCTGCTGCTGCTACTAGAGTCAGGAAGCCTCCTGTAGGCAAAGAATCGATCCCTCTTGTTCTAATTAAAGGGTGATGCAGACGGAAAAACGTTCTTAGCAGCGACAAAGACGACAGCTGCTTGTGGCGTTTGCTGCTGCTGCGGCGGCTGCTGCGGCTACTGCCGTTTCTGCTGCTGCTGTTGCTGCTGCGGAGCCGGGAGCAGCAGCAAATCAGTGCTGGTGCTACACAAAGACAGTAAAAGAGGCTGCCAGGAGCTCTCTGATAATTCCCGAGCGTCCGAGTTGCTGCTGCCTCTGCTGCCGCTGCTGCTGCTGCTGCTGCTGCTGCACCTCACAGACGCCGCAGCGGTGCCTCCAGCAGCAGCAGCAGCAGCAGCAAGAGCGGGTTGCAGTTGCTGCCTGTAGTTGTCGCTCCTTTATTTTAATAAATAATTAAACATAATATTATTATCATTTAAATCCTATTCGTATTACATCTAACTGCTGCTGTCCTGCTGCTGCCTGACTGCTGCTGCTGCTTAACCTCGGCAAGCAGCAGCAGCTGCTGCTGCTGCGTGGGGTCTGCTGCTCCGCTGTCCACCTGCTGGCTGCTGCTGCTGGGGCCTCGGCTGCTGCTGCAGCCGTATCTGTTGCTGCAGCAAACTGCATGCATGCAGCAGCAGCAGCAGCAAAAGGAAGCTTCTTAATAAGTAAATATCTTATACTTAACAACTTTTATACTGACAACAAGGAAGAAGACTTAGCTGCAGATTTTTTTTTCCTTTTCTTCTCGAGACATCTATCTAGCAGCAGCAACAGCTGCTGCTGCAGCAGCAGCAGTAGCAGCTGGTACTGCTCGAGTGTCTCGATGCAGCAGCCTGCTTCGACCTTCAATGAGTCACTGCAACAGATCTTGCTGTTGCAGCAGCAGCAGCAGCTCCTGCTGCTGCAGCAACAACCAACACAAGGGGTCTCACGAACCCTCCTTGGCTTAGCCTGTAACTATGGATAACAAAGTAGCTGCAACAGCAGCAACAGCAGCAGCAGATGCTGCTGCTGCTGCTGCTGCTTCCGATGCAGCCACCTGGACTGATGAGGACGCGCAGCAACAGCAGCAACTGCGACAGGAAATAGATGCTGCAGAGCAGCAGCTCGCTGAGCTGCAGCAGCAGCAGCAGGCGCTGGAACAGGTGCTGCAGCAGTGCAGCACAGAGGAGGAGAAGAGCGAGATAAAGGAGGCTGCAGCAGCAACAGCAGCAGCAGCAGCAGACACAGCAGCAGCACTCGAGCTAATGAAGACTTCGCTACTGGAGTCACGTCGGCTACAGGTACAGAGGCAACTGCTACAGATGCAGCAGGAAGAGCAGCAGCAGCAACTGCAGCAGCAGCAGAATGACGAGGAAGGGAGCAGCAGCGACTCAGCAATGAGTCTTTCCGACGGCGACTTGAGCAGCGGCGCCTCCGACTCGGGCTCAGGCAGCAGCAACAGCAAGAGCAGCAGCAGCAGCAGCGACAGCAGCAGCAGCAGCAAGACAAAAGAAGGCAGTCTCTGTGTCTTTGCTTCTATGCAAGACAGCGGTCAGGTGCTGCTGCAATACGGCAGAATACGAGCTGTCGTGAGCAGCACTCCTTTGCTGCAGCGGCTGCTGCTGGGCAGCAACAGCAGCAGCACCAGCAGCAGCAACAGCAGCAGCAGCAGCAGCAGCGATGACGATGACTTCGATGCTGTCTGTGAGGCGTTGCCTTCCGGAGGATGCGACCTCCGTACAGCGCTGCTTCTCGAGCAGCAGCAACAGCAGCAGCAGCAAGAGAAGCAGCAGCAGCAGCAACAGCAGCAGCAGCAGCAGCAACCTCTGCTGCTGGTGGTTCCTGCCTGCCCAATGGAGGATCATGAGGCACCATGCAGTCATATATCTGCTGCAACTGCTGCTGCTGCTGCTGCATTCCAAGCTGCAGCAGAAACTGCTACACAGCAGCAGCAGCAGCAACAGCAGCAGCAGCAAGTGACGCAACGGCGTATTGAGTGCTCTTCTCTGCGCGAAGAAGCAGCTGCAGCAGGTCTGCAGCTCGTTCCTGACGGCACAGCTGCTTCTGCTGCTGCTGCTGCAGCAACAGCAGCAGGTGCATCCTTGTCCCTGCAGGAGCTTGCTGCAGCATGTCCTTATGGAGCCAGCTGCCGCTGGAGACACGGCGTGCTGCTGCCTGCATGCGCTGCTACAATTGTCACATTCTCCCACCGTAAATGCATTGAGCAGCAGCAGCAGCAGCAACAGCAGCAACAACAGCAGCAGCAGCAGCAAGGAGTGGTAGGCCGAGGCAGCCAGGTGCTCGTCCGAGTGAGGAAGCAGCAGTGGCAGCAAGGCACCCTCCGGCTGCTGCTGCGCAAGAGGAGAAATGCAGCCGCAGCAGCAGCAGCAGATGAAAGTGCTGCTGCTGCTGCTGCAATGTTGCCTCTGTCAGGGGCTGCTGCGCGGAAACAGCAGCAGAAGCAGCAACAGCAGGAGCAGCAGCAGCAGTATACGTGGTTTGCCCGCGTCAGGTTGGATAGCAGCAGCGAGAATAACAACAACAGCAGCAGCAGCAACAGCAGCAGCAGCAACGCACCAGGTAGCAGAGGGAAAGTGTATCTCTGTAGGCTGCAGCAGCTGCTCCCTGCACTGCAGCAACAGCAGCAACAGCAGCAGCAGCAGGCGGGTGCAGCCTTGGAAGCCCAGCGTCCTAAGGTGCACCGCATCCGCAGCAGCAGCAGCAGCGGCAGCAGCAGCAGCAGCAGCAGCGAGTCGGATGTGGCTGTAGAGATGGAAGGAAGTGACGGGGAGATATCCGAGGGTGAGAAGCAGCAGCAGCAGCAAAAGGTGCAGCGGCTGCAGCAGCTGCTAGGGAAGACAGCAGCAGCAGCAGCAGCAGAGATGCTGCGGCGGCTTCCTCGTTGCCCTAGGAGCAGCTGGTGGCAGCCGTTGCGCAGCACAGACACTGCTCGGCGCGCAGGAACCAGCAGCAGCAGCAACAACAACAACAACAGCAACAGCAGCAGCAGCAACGACAGCAGCAGCTGCTGCCCCCTCAGCAGCAGCAGCTACTTCGGTGTATGGATGCTGCACACCAGTGGTGTAGGGCTGCGCATAATGCAGCGCTGTGGCTATAAACCAGGGGAGTGTATAGGCAAGAGGCAGCGGCAGCAGCAGAAGCAGCAGCAGCAGCAGCAGCAGCAGCAGGGGGAGCAGCAGCAGCAGGGGGAGCAGCAGCAGCAAGAGCAGCAAGAAGTATTGCTCAATCCTCTGCCTATAGAGTGAGGCCCATGGATCTGCTGCCGTCTTTGCTGCTGCAGTTGTTTACTTTGCTGCTGTTGTTGCTGCTGTTGCTGCTGTTGTTTCTGCTGTTTTTTCTCCCTATATGTGGTGTGTATCTGCTGCTGCTGTTGCTGCTGCTGCTGTTGCTGCTGCTGCAGGATATTACCTTCGGGTTATTCTCTGGATTACATACGATGCCCGCGAGTAAAGCGAGCAGCAGCAAAAAAGGCAGCAGCAGCAGCAGCTGCTGCTGCTGCTGCTGAGGAGGGTGATGGTGCCTTCAGGCTTATTCGTGGGGTCGGGCAGACTGCTGCTGCTGCATCAGCTGCTGCTGATGAGCTGGAGAAGCAGCAGCAGCAGCAGGACCTGCAGCTGCAGCAGAAGCTGCACAAGAAGTATAAGAAGGCTGACGAGCAGCAGATGCGTCGGGAGTTGCTGCAGCTGCAGCAGCAGCAGCAAGAGGTTCAGCAGCAGCTAGCAGCAGCAGCAGCAAATTGTAGAAGACACCAAGGGACAGCAACAGAGGGGCATAGGGTACATGAGCATTATCAGCAGCAGCAGCAGCTGCTGCTGCAGCAGCAGCGCGAGCTGCAGCAGCAGCAAAAGATGCTCGAGCGGATGCTACCCACTAAGAAAACAAACAAACTATCCAAGATCTTCTAAGAGATTTTTTCCTACTGCAGCAGCAGCAGCAGCCGCTGCTGCTGCTGCTGCTGCACCTGCTGCAGCAGCAGCAGCGCGCAGACAGAATATGTTTAGGGTTTAGTGTTTTCTTTTGGCTAACTGCATGCAGTGTATCTTCTTGGCAAAAAACAAACAGCAAACAAATTAGGGTTTAGGG